CCCCCCCCTCAAGGGTCCCGGCTCGCTCCCTGCCGTCCCCCACGCTTCTCATTCAGTAACCTACCCACGGCCCGGTTATCTCCCATCGACGCCTGATGTACTCAGGGCTTCCATACTTGCTGAGAGCTGTTCCTGCCCCTGCTCTTGTGCCTCCTCTTGTGCTTCCCCCTGCTGCTTCCCCTCCCCTCCAGTTCCAGGCGAAGGAGATACAGACCCCCCACTCGCGCATGTCGGCAAGCTAGGGACCGACCCCTCCCCCTCTACCTCCCCCTCTCCCGGTGTTGGGGCCGAGGCCGCGCCAGACGCGTAGCCATTCACCGGCGGCAACCGAGGGAATGCGACACCCTCCTCCTTCACCGGCAAAGGCGGCGGGAACTCTTCATCCTCAAACGCCGCTTCCAGCTCTTCCTGCCTAGCGAGCACTTCTCCCCACTCGTCCTCCTCCTCCTCATCCGAAGCGCAAGCCCACGTCTCCCCCTCCCTCAAAACCCGCTTATACATCCCCGGCTCGAACTCCGGCGGATCACAAGTCCACAAACTCCCCCATTCAACCCCGTCAAAAAACGCAGCCGAGCGTACTTCCCCTGCTCCCTCTGGCCCGCCCTGCGCGCCCAGCCGCTGCAAAGGGTCATTCACCAACAGCTTAGTAACAAGATCCCTCGCAGCCGGGTCCCAGCCCTCGTCAAACCCGTACTCACCCTTGAGCACTCTCTGCCACATGAGATAGTGTGCTAACCCCCCTGTTGGGCCCGAGTCGAATGGGAACCGCCCGGATATTAGTTGGTAGAGCACGATCCCGAGGGACCAGAGGTCGGTAGGGTAGGACGCGGGTTGATGGGCTAGGATCTCGGGTGAGACGTACTGCGGTGACCCGACGAAGGAGGAGCGTCGGGAGCTTGCGGCGGGCTCGATGTCTTTGTCCAGAAAATTAAATGAGCAAGGGAGTAGTGGAAACGGGGGAATGCACGACGCACCCTCGTCAACGACCTTTGCACTCCCGAAATCTGTGATCTTGATCCTCCAAGCGTCGGTAAATAGGAAATTGTCAGGCTTTAGATCCCGGTGTATTATCCCCTGCGAATGGATGAACAGCACCGCATCTGTGATCTGGGCAAAATAGTATCGTGCACAGGGGAGGGAGAACGACCCAAGCCGGCGGAGGACGGTCGTCATATCCCCTTTAGGGCATAACTCGAGTACGAAGTCTGGTCCATGTCAGCAGACAGCAGGGTGAATGCGTAAGAACGGGCGCACAGAGCGTAGTCTGGTCCTGCATCGCCCAAAACAATCGTACGACCCCGGGATGACCAGGTCTTGACAGCCTCATCAGCGCCCTCCTCTCGCTCTGTACATCCACCCTATTCCCCTGCTGTTTCCAGCGTGTCACATGCGCCTTATCAAGTACTTTCACCGCGTATGTCTGACCATTCTGAGGTAGATAAGCAGCAGTAACGACGGAATATGAGCCTGTGCCGAGCTCGCGGCCGAACTTGAAGTCTCGGGGAGTGACAGCCAAGTGCGAGTGCGAGTGGCGATTATCCGGTGTAGCAGAGGATGCGCGGGAATTCGGGCGCAGAGTGGATGTCGTTTCTGCAGAAGCGGCACTGGCTGTGCTCATATGCCTTTTGGGTGCGCGGGGTTCGCGCGCTGGGATGAGGTCCCGAGGTACGCCGAAGAGAGGGGAACGATCCCCTCTTGGTGTGGTTGGGGGAGTGCCGTGCGGGCTTCGAGGCCAGCTTGGTAGTCCGAGGTGCAGGATCAGAGGGCGCCGGGGGGGTAGCGGGGAGGGACGGTCGTCGGAGTGCAGCGAGACTGAGGATGAGGAAGAGGAGGAAGAGGAAGAGGAAGAGATTACGGATGTATTCCTTGATAGTTGGGATAGGGCGGAGAGAGGGGCTGTGGAAGGTGAAGGTGATTGTTGTGTCTCGGTGTGATCGTCTGACGAAGCGGATGACGGGGGAAGGATGTGCGGAGAAGCGGACATGGTGGGATACAGCGAGGGGCAGTCAGGGAGGGTAACACTAGTATAAGGGATTGACCTTGCAAGAGAAAACGTGACCCGATCAAGGGACGTAATGGCACAGTCTAGACTCGCCGCGGACCCTTTTCTTACTTACTTTTTATTTATACCACACACACCCCACACAGCTTAGTTTGAACCCTCGGTCGGAGCTTGTCATCCCTGCCCGCCGCCGGTGTTCTCTCTCCCAGCTCATGCTGTCCCATCTCTCATCGATCACCTTATGCTCCGAACCAGCGTGCTCCTATTCACCGCATCTAGCCCCACCCACCGGGACCGTCCATGGTCGTCCCCCCTTGTAGCCACAGGAAACCCGGTCAAATACCCTATTTACCCCTCGCAACTCATTCCTCTCTACGCCCGCTCAAAACAGGAACACCTCCCGATCTACTCAGGCTTGGCAACTCGCATGGTATGAATGTGCGCTATTGAATGCTCATGAGCTTCGGGAGTTTGAACTATGATGGGACGGGTAATGGATCCTCGACGGACGGTTTCCTTGGTTCATCAGCTGGCAATTTTTTTGCTCAAGTTCACATATTTGATACTCCAAACCGCTCCAAGCAGCAGCGGTTCCCGACCTACTCAGTCTTGGCTTAGAGTGCATGAGCTCGCGTGCTTTGAATGTGCTTTACTGAATGCTCAAGGGCTTGGGAGTTTGAACTATGATGGGACGGGTAATGGATCCTCGACATGGCTAATCAGCTGGCGGCCCTTTACTTGGTTCACGTATTCGATGCTCCACGGTGGCCGTCTCGTCTCCCTATCACACTGCTGGTGGGATAATTACCTTTGCGGGTGTGTGGAATTCTAATCTCGTGCCTTATAGGCGTATAATGGCTGGGATATATATGCAAGTGATGAATTGAGCCTGTTCATAGGCTGACTGGGAAGCAGCAGTTGGCCAGCCATCAGAGCAGATGGGGCGGTATTGGAGAGGTGTCGAGTGACGGCTGGACCGCGATCAGAGAGGATTACAGGCTGCTGTTAGCTCGGAAAGAATTAGAAAATAGACGGGCTGCAGTCACCTAGGGCAGCAATTACTGGACTCAGGCCGTCAGGTTGTCGGGCAGTTTCTGGCAGGGGTCGGGAAGATACCTGGTTACAAGCGGACGATTGGGTAGCAGGGAGACAATCGCAGGTCGTGGTAGCTGGCGGCAATCGGATAGTTAAGGTGCCGGTTTCCAGGTTTTACGACATTACAGATCAGGCAACACATGCGCGCATTTCACCAGTATGATTGCTTTACGTGTCGGAGGGCCATCGTTCACCTTGAACCATATGAGACCGCATCCTCCCTCTGCGCGCGGCGGTTCATGATCATATTGAACAGGGAGTGCACACCAAAGCGCTCCACATCATTCCCAGATCCATGCATTATCCAAGCCAACAAAGTAGTTTTCTTAGCCAGGGGGGAGCATGCTCGCATCAACCCCTTGTACATCCGCAGCCTCATCATCATCCATCAATGCCGCAATCGGCGTGCGGGGCATGACCATCACTCCCGTCCTTGTGCTTTCCAGCACCCCGAACGGCTTGATCAGCGCGAGGAAGGCGTCCACCCTGCTGGCTTTGCCCGTCATCTCTACAATGACACTGTTTTCGCTGACATCTACAATTTTGCCCCCAAACTGGGAGGAGAGGGCCTGGATAGCAGCCATATGAGTGTGCTTTAATGCCAATAACTGAGAAGGCGTCAGGGCCGGCGGAAGGCCGGGGTCGTCGCTCGCCGAAGAAGGGCGATGAGCGCTCTTCCCAGACGCCTCGAATGCGCGCGCCATACTGGCCTCCTTGGCGAGCAGGGGCTTGCTCCCATCTTCCTGCGCGATCTGGTGTTGTTCGGAAGCGTTCACCTCTGCCGCGGGCAGAGAGCGGCGTGCTTCGTGTGAGGGGCCGCCGAGAAGTTGGTCCTCGACGTATTCTGGGCCGAGGATGGAGACTTTGGCAAGGAGCAGCTCGCGCTCAATTTTCTTCGTATCGGTGTAATTCAGCACTGCCCAGACCGGGACCTGTATACATGTGAGCGGGTGTCAATAGGAGGTAGATAAGAGTGCGCACTAGATCTTCTAGCTGACGACGCGCTTGCTCAATCACCATGTCCTGTCCGCTGAGGACGATGCACATGCGTGAAAGGTCGCGGATCTCGGTTTGGCACACAACGAGTGAATGGATGTTGAACCCTCTGCCCGCTAGGATACCACTAACCCGGGAGAGGACACCAGGCTCGTTTTGTACTAGACATTCCAGAATGTGCCTAGCAAAATATTGATAAGCGATGAGGATAACGAGCATAAGGCGTATGCGCACTTCTTGAACGGCTCCGTGCTCGGCGGCGGAGTGTTATACAAAATATTCGTGACCGCCTCCTCCGCTGTTCTCTGTCTAGGATGATCCATAGCAGGCAAGGGCGGCGGACGCCGGTGGTGCATATGCGACTTGTAATCCAACGCAGAGGTGGAATCCTCGATCGAGCGCGGGGCGCGGGTGGGCGAATCAGCGCGTAGCCTAGCGGTGGTGCTGAGATACCGGCGTGTGCCGGAGAGGGAAGAACGCGCAATGCGGGATGCCATGGTGCACGTCGAGGAGCAAGTGGCAATCCTGGCTGAGTGGTGATAGCCGCGCTGAGAAACGTGACTCGGATTTGGGTTTTTCCCCCGTTCTTCTAGTGGCGGTGAAGAAGTTCTTCAGGGTCGGGACCGTGCGGGGTAACTGCGTGATCGACGTTCTCTCGTCCTTTGACAATCGACCAGCAACAACAACACGTTGACTTTGGGATCCCTATCAGATATCTATGACGATTTGCTGTGCACATATGGAACGGCTTATGATACGGGTCAGCACCGGGAAGTCCTGCAACCCGACAACACCTCCGCTACGAAAATATCCTCCTCGGCGTAGTGTGCTGCTCAATATTGATTATCTGGAATTGCCGTGAAGGATGCCGCCCCGTTTCAAATCAGAGGAGGGGAAACCGCCTTTGCAGCTTCTTGCGAACGAATCAGAGACGTTTTGACATATTGGTGGATAAGTAAACTCGCCATGCAACTCCGAGGTAGTGTAATGGAACACATTTAGCATAATATGTGAAAACTCCTGGGTTCAAATCCCAGTCTCGGAATCTGGTTTAAGTTTTGTTGTCCCGTGGCCCCTATTTAACCCGCATGCCGCAGAGGGATATTAGGAATACATTATCTTGATATGAGAGCAAAAGTCTTCAAATCCGAGGTAGTGTAACGGAACACACGAGTAGTTGACTAACGACTTCTTGACCTGGGTTCAAGCCCCAGTCTTGGAATTGCCTTCAATATCTTATTTTTACTCTTCTTTCCCCCGCTATTTCGTCAGGCATGATGACTTGGACCTCGTGAGGGTCATGGTGAGTCATCCTTATGTGGTTGAGACTGTGCCTTTGTTGTCGGCATCCTCAGGGCCCAATTAATTTGGGACATACAGACGAGCTGATTCCAATATATAGAGTGCAACTCAAAAGCTGTCAAGTGAATTGTTATGAGCTCCTTTCCTTTAATGAATAAGACATTACAGCATCTGCCTCCGGGGTAGTGTAATGGACTATAGGTAGGCACTCTGCACAGTCCTGGGACTGCAGTAACACATTCTCAGCACCTTTTTCTGTAACATGCCTTCTTTAAGTCTGCTTGTCTCTGCATGTTGACCAACATATTGTCGGTGGCAAGCAACCAGACAAACAGCATCCTTTGACCTCAACCTCCATGTCAGCTACCGATATTCTTACTGCTGGGACTTGTCAGAACTTGCTGGATAGTGTCCCACCTGTTGGAGGGATGGTCCAATGCATTGGGATCCATCCTGTCCTAATGCCTGCAGTTGAAGAGCATGCTGTCAGACTCTGGTGAGTGTTATTTTTGGTTGTTTAGCCATTCTAACTGTGTCTGTCAGTTTGACCATTAGTGATGGCAACAACTGTCTGGATGTGGTTGCTAGCTTCAACTTGGCCTCTGACGTGGTGCAGGGGTACCTCAGGCTCTATGACATTATCAGAATTATCAGTTATGAAACATTTGTTTGTTATGAGCACAAGTGAGTTGTTCATATCCAAATGGATTGTCTGTCTGGTCTGACCGTGAACAGAATTGTCATTCTCAAGCATGTAACTGGACCATACTTGTCTATGGGGATCATCAGACAGCCTACAATGTTGTCGGTCCAGGACAGTTGAGTCCTCCTTTGTAACAACCTGAGCATGCCTACCCATCAAGTCCAGGTTCCTCAAGTCCTTGCTCCGGTTGGAGCAAATGTAATTATCAAAGTTCTTTCTGATGCAGACTGATACATTTCTGATGTGACAATAGGCTGCCGCTGCTGCTGTCATGTGCACCCCACTTGCTGGCCACCTCTGCAGTACAATTGTCAACTTGCAGGCTGGACTACACAGGCGAGATCAGATTCTACTTGTTGTCAACTGATATCTGTCTAGACTTGTGAAGATGATTGTTATGGTCAGCGAATCACTTGTGCAGAGAATGTTCACTGTAGCATCTATCTTTGCAGGGTATGTTTGTATCTTCTTACAGTCAGACCATTGCTGACATTGTCTGACATAGACGGACGGATCTGTTTCATGCACTGTCCAAGACATCACAAGGATGGAATAGTTAGTTTTGAGTTTCTGTATGTATGTGTACTTGCAAAAAGTCATGTATCTGAGTCTTGCAGTCTTTTTTTTTTGAATCATTTATGTAGTATACAGATAATATTACAAGTTCACCAACATGAACAGCATGACCAATGTGACAATGATACTATTTTGACATTGTTTGTTTTGGCGATTGTTAAACATACAGCATGTGCATTCCATGTACCATGCTTTCATGAAATTACAAGTCCTTTGCAGTAGACTCCATCATTATTTGTTGATACCAGCATCAGTTTCATTGTCATCATCAGAGGGTGGCAAACAGGGAACTGAACGTGAAACATTATACATAACTTGGCCGTTGACCTGAAATATCAGTTAATTACAGTCATACAATAGACTGGAAACTCACCAAGTTTGTACAAGCCACCATACTGAAAATATACCATCCACATTTACTTACTGCCAGTCTGGACAAATGTGGATCTTGATGTACCTGAGAAGAAGGTTATTATCAAATGTCAGATGTTGCTCGGTGTACTTACATGCATGTTCTCCACTTGATGTACAGGTATCTGTAACATTTCTTCTATGACTTTGTCAAACATGGTCATGGTGATAGATTCTTTACCATCAGTGATCTGAACTTCCAGTTGATAGCTGAAGGAGTCAGACCAGTCAAATACAATAACTATCAGCTTACCAAATGCAAGAATCATCAAAACTCTTATGGCATACACAACATTCCCAGAGCTGTTTCATTTTGAAGAGTGTTTCTTTACTGTCTTCATTGACATAGGCTTGATCTGTCTGAGGTTGAATAGGCACTTCAGCCATGAATGGATTGACAAGGCCATTGCACCTGAGCATCTGGCAGGCATGATAGGCAATTTGGTCAGTGCAGATGTCTTTCAAGTAAGCAAAGGTCTTGAACAGAGTCTTGTTGCCATCTGAGCCCAGCTCATTATAGATAGCATCAGAGATTGTTGTTAACTTGTCCTGTCCAGACATTGACGACAGGCAAGCAGTTGCAGATGCGCCAAAAGTTATGTCTGAAAGTTCCATAAATGTCATCAATTGACCTCCATTCTCAAACCTGGAGATGATCAATATACAACAGGCAGTCCAATGAGTAAAGGCTACCAATCTCCCAGTTCTCTTGCAATAGGTAAGTCAATGTCATACAGGATCTTCGAACCTGCTTCAAGCAACAGACTTGTGCCAGCATGTTTGCAAACTTGAGCTGCTTGAATGATGATGACATCTCTGATAATGGCATTGAACTTGATTGCTTCTTCTCCCCAGACTGCAACTCTGCAGGTGTATCTGGAAGCATCAACAACTTGTACTTCTTGGATAGTCATTCTGTCATTGACTCGTGGAGTCAAAGTTGAAGCCAGAACAAAGTCTGTCAGAATATGGACAGGTGCAGAATTTGTAGGCCGCTTGATATTGCATAATATGACTTCATCATCAACCATATTGATGACACATATGACATCTGTTTCAGCAAAATGAGCAGAAAGGTCAATAGAATTGTAATGGATGGATACTCACCACAAGAAGTGGTTCTCACCAAGTTCAGCTCAGACAGCCTTATAAAGTTGTATGTCAAGGGAGGGACTTTACCATCGTCAATTAACTGATATTGTCAGTGATCATATCATTCAGTAACCAACAACTTACTTCAATGATGGACATTTTTTCAGCGATCTTCAACTGGAAGGTGGAACTGATGGCAAATCAGACCAGAGGGTCAACAACATGGAACACAGAGATAGAATAGACCTAACATCCAGTTAGTGATGGTCAGAAACAGAAAGAAGCAAGCTTACTTTCCTAATGGTCAATAAGCTTGCTGGGTTGATCGCTGCATTCGACCAAGTGACAGCACTAATCTTGCCCTAGTTGGTCCAATCAGTAAATGCCATATATGTGTGTATAACTGAAATACATACAGATGAATCTGCAAATGTCAAGTTACAGACAAAAGCTCCATTCTTGGACTTAAGTTTGACACCTCCAGTGTTACGTAGTATGCAAACTCTTATTTTACACCTACTCAACAGTTAAAGACTGTACTGCACAGACAGAGAACACATACACAGTCAATGTAAGTGCAGGTCTCAGTTCCGGAACTTTAGTGTAGCCATCTGCATCCAGTTTGGGATATGGCAAAATGATCATACAAGCACCATTACAGGCAGCACAGATTGAAGTCTTGGAACAAATGGGACCAATACCATTGGAAGACTCTTCATTTTTGACATTATGTTTATCTGTCAAGAGAGCAAAAGGACCATAACCAGGAAAGTTTTTTGAGACATTATCGACTGTAGTATTGACATGAAGTAGATTTTTCAGCTTGCCAGTATGTGATGACAACACTGTAATACCACTGACCATGCAAACACTTGAGTAGATCAATATATGCACTTAACGGTGCATATATGCAGCTCACATGAAACCAGTCGAGATGGATCTTGTGAGGTTGCTTAGTTGAACTCAATCAAAAGTCTTGAAGACATTGCCCTCAGCCTGTCCATTCAGATATATAGATAGCATGACACTGATCACATGAGAGCCATCACTGATTGTCATTCTGTCTTATGCATCAGATACAAAACTGACAGACCGAAAAGATACTTACTTATGCTGTTTCGGTTCAAGGTTGGTGCTGTTGATCTTCACTTTCTTCAAACTAAGTATCTGGACAACTCCATCTTGACAGACAGTCTTGTTAGTGAGCAGGGAATGACAGAAATTGGTGGTCAATGTGTCTGATATATTGGTCATAATAGGATGATGATGGTCAGAGACCAAGAGAGACAAGTACCATGTCTTGTTGTTGTTACTTTAAAAGGATCAGATGCATCTATGGAAGCAAATATAAGACAATGACTTGACAATGCCAAGCGATTGACATATATACCCAATTTGTACAAGATGTGTCCACTGATCTGGAAGGTTCTTTCTGCACATAGCTCTTCTTGACTGCCTACCACCATTTGGTACTCTGTACAACACCACACAGACTGTTATCAGAAAGACATTGCAGTAAAATCAAGTCATCATATGTACTCAGTGAACATGACCACTGACACTCACATTCTGTAGGATTACGGAATCCCAGCATGCATATATATAGCTTTGACACAATCAACTGAGTTCACAATGGCATCCCATGATGATATCATGCTGGAAGTGAATGCAACTGATAAATCAGGTGATGAAAAGGTAAGAGCATGTTTGTGAACATGTCCGAAACTGAGCTGACGCATTACCATAAGACTGTCCATCAAGACTTGAATGCAGAGCTCAGTGCTGCTACAGATATCCAAGTCTGTCGCAGTCATTCCATTGAAGAACAGTCTTGTGCACTGTCTGGCAATGAAGGCACTGTAGACTGCACTCATACAGCACATTTGGCTGATCAAGGCAATATGACAATATTCAAAGCAGGTGGTGCCAGTCCTCACCTGAACAGTGACACAAACGGCATCACCCATAAGCACATAGAATTCAAAACAACATCTACAGATATGTTTATTAAGAAAATGATGAATGACAATGATGAGAATGAAATTGAAGATGGACCATACCTGTACATTGTCAGAGAAGACATCAAAGAAGACAACCTTAAGCCTATTCCTGTGGTACGTGATCAGACTTAACATGTACTGACAAAGCAACTGATTATGTGTGATAGGTAATCGGACATGCTCATTCAACTTGGCTACATACTAGCTTGCAGGACAGCAACTGGCCCGGAACAGGGAAAAGGACAGCACCATTTTCTCTGGGTAATTCATGGCCATTACCTGCTGAGGAGTAAGTGATATGTTCATACAATTGACATTGCTGAAGACAATGTTACAGGATCCAAATTCTGACAGAGGTGTATGCATATGACCATGCCATAAAGGCCATAAAGAAGAGGAACAAGTCCATCGGGAATAATATGACCATGTAGCTCTGATTCATGGACTGCAAGGAAGGACTGTATAAGTACTGGACAGAAAGGACCATTCTAATAAATGACAACTCCATCCATGTAGCATAATAATGAACACATATGGCTCCAAGAATATCCATATAGCAAAACAATACCGAAAGTTCTGGAAATAGCAGCATACATAAAACAACACATTCAGAGAACTGATTTATCCAATGTGTAAGTCATGTGACAGATGATATATATTGAGCATTCTCAATGCAAACTCATTGGTCCTTTCCAGACAGTGACAGTCATTTCCACCAATATTGTCACCTTTCACTGTTAACTACATGACTGAGGTTATGAGTTACTGTAAGTCTACTTCAAGCTTGTGTATACAAAAACAAGTATACTGATACACATGTAAGCAATGAATGTGTATTGTGACAGTTTATTCAGTCAGTTATCATACTGTCTGTGCACACTTGGCTGATGTGTATTTCTGTACCAGACAAATCTCTGTCCCTGGGTTGGAGTCACAACATAGACAGAAATATCATGAAAGACATGCCTGACAGTGCGATATTCAATGTGAATATTGAGAAGAGCTTTAGCAACATGCTGGCAGTTGGCAAAACTGACAATGGTTAGTTGCATATGCTGTCATATCAGATCAGGAAACTGACAGTAATGTGAAACCAGCCTCATATGGAGAATTGCAGATTAAGGTATGAAAATATACATCATACAGTTGTGATATTCTACTGACGCAGTACCATCAGATGATTTTGAATGAAAAGCCAGCACCATCCAGCAATGATACAGTCATTGAGAACATGTCTGGTCCGACTGACAAGATCAACACTGCTCTTACTGCCAATGCTGTACACTCCGGACAAGATAATCAAGCATTCAGTCTACATGAAGATTGCACTACTGAAATTAACAGATATTACAGGGCATTAGTTGGCAAAACACATCACCATATTTTATTGGTCAATGCATACATTTTTGACAAGATGCTGACAGAACAGGATATTTGACAGGTACTGTGCATAGCTGTAGACTGATGAGATATGAAAACATACATGTATTAGCACATAAATGAACTCGACTACAACAGACAATGTCAGTGCTGCAGAAGGCACATACATCATGGGTCTCAACAGGATACACCACTTTAAATGGAAATAACAGCATCATCAGACCTGAGCTCTTCCAAGTCGCTGACATCATCAGCATCAAATGCTGCCGGCACAAGCATGTTAACTGCCTTCAATAAGTAAGTAGCTCTCCATTTACTGTCGGTTTTGGAGGTAGAACTGCAACCAGTATGAGAGTTAGATTTGCTTGGCAACAAGAAATCATCTGCGATCTGACAGTCCTGGAAACAACTGATGTTTGACTTGATAAGTACGAGGTCATTTTGTTTGAGATCTTTGGTGTGCATTTTCTCCATCTGCAATTTCTGCTTCAGAATGATGGTTGCATCAAACATGGACATGAATGGCAAAACCTATGAACAATTAAACAGCACCCATTATTTACTTATAACAAACATACTGTCTGCACACCTTCACCAGGTACTCATTTGGTCATCCAACGACCAGCCTTTAAAGTGTCTTGACCTGCCAGAACATAGACTGTACATTGATCAGTTCAATAATGTCAAGTCAGACACAATTCAGAAATTACATTTATTGGTGGTGTGCTGATGAATGAGTGCACAACCAGCCATAAGATCTGAAGCACACAAAGGATGGAAAATGATATTGGCCTGTTTTTCAGGTTTGCCGGATGGAGTAAACAAAAAGAGCCCAGTAATGATACTGACCATCCAAACAGTAATAGGCACCATTGAGCAGCATCAAACAGATATTCAGTGAAATCTGATGCAGACTGTGTAGACCAATAGCCTCCACCAGGCATTGTCAAGATCGAATAAGTAGCAAGCCAGGGGTTTTGATATTCCATCATGATATTGATCCTGCTAGAGATGGACATCAGCGAAGAGCACCAGATGTATAATGTATGAGAGACGCACTTGTCCATTGACTGACCATAGCCCCAAGATTGAGAACAAGTATCATTGCCTAGGTGCACCATGGCATAAATAAAACACAAAAAGAGCAGTCATATAAGCACCTACATAAGGACTGAGACTATCAACCGGAGATGTACTGCAAAACAATCAACATCACATTGACAACATAATTGGGAGAGACCAGATTGTAAAGTCCAGAGAAAATTTGACTTACAGTTGCACAGTAGGACGACTGTCAGAGACTGCTGCCAAGTCAGACAGACCAGAGCAATGACAAGAATGATCACTGTTCAAGACAGCAGGTGCCAAACCAGCTGACTGACTACTAACAGCAAGAGTTGCAGGACTACCAAGAGAATGGGCCACCACCATAGGAGATGAGAGAGTAGGAGACCAAAGAACCACACCATCACTAGACTCAGATGCAGAAGGATTTGCAGTGGTAACCATGTCGATAACTCTGCAACAGTGTCAGCTGACTACTGTCAAGACAAACATTGATTGACATACAATAGAGTTTGTGGAAGAGACAGGTTGATGTCTGAGGTCAATGATACCTCAGTAGAAGATGAGTCAGCAACAGGAACTTGATCAGCACTGCCCACTACAGTATTAGTGTGCAAAATATTGTAGGTAGGAATAACACACCAGACACATTTTATGGGTGCAGCAATGGTCAGGTCAGGAATGGACTTAGGATGAAACTTTGTGTTTCATACTGCAGGGAACATGACAAACAGTCACTGATGAAGGCAGGTATTTATAGGTTCACAGCCAGTGGTTGAGTCTCCACTGGCCAATCCAGTTTGCAGAATATGTTGATTGTTTGAGACCAATCAGAACTGCCAAACTGCCTGACTTGACCTTTGTGATATACTGCAAACAATCCATATGTCCATTCTCACCAGGAAATCAGCAGGAATGCAGAGCAGATCAAACAGTAGTGACTGCACAGAGGTATTATCCCTCTGTCAGCCAATGACCATGTCAGAAAGAACACAAAAAACACCATACAATTGATTTACATGAAATTCACCACTTGATGCGGATAACACTCGGCCTTGTCATAGGTCCAGCACTGTACCAAATAATGAAGTGGCACAATAGGTGATGAACAGAAGCACGTACCAAGGAGAAAGGAATGATCCGGATCAAGCAGGAACATTACAAGACATTTTTTTTCCCACTTTCCCATTCATCTGGCTCAGAAGCAAACATTGCCAAGCTAGTCATGCGCTCCATTGTAGCAAATGTGAGAATGCGAGCCAGAGAACTGGCAGTCAATGGTGATGTGTATAATAGTAACAGGATCACATTATCAGATGACCAGATGGAGTAGCCAAGAAAGATCAGCAACAAAAAAGACAGAACATCGATATAATAGCACAAAACTGCAAGTGGGATGGACCATTACTGAAAGTGATGTTTACGTACTATAATGGCATTTTTCCAAGGTGCATACATATGAGATACAACAAAGAAGCAAATCAACTAACATTTCAGTAGTAGGAGCAACACTTGTTCATGATCTCTGGCAACATGAAGATGCTGTCCTTGCAATGGACACTACAATAATGACCATATCCGCAAGTAATGCTGACCTAGACTGTCTGATAGAAGTTGTTCCAAAGAAAGATGGTTGTGGTCAATACAGACTGGCCTGGCAAGTGATTTGGAAGGCACTGACCATGAAAGACAATATTGGTAAGGTCACTCACTTTCAGATTCAAGGCCACATCAAAGCATTCAAACTGAACAGATTAGGAAACTGGACTGGGCAAGTAGCATTTACATTTACTGTACAACAACAAACCTGACAACATGCACAGACACGAAAAGGATACATGCAGGGCATTACAATACATGTCATTGTGCAGTCAGGAGCACAAAGATGCATGGAAGGTTACAGTAAAGTGCCTGAATGTCCTGCAAAGCTTTGTATATGCTGGAGCCAGTACTCAACCAGTGAGCAGACCTTTCAGTGATGTTGTGACAGGTAACATAACATTTTATTGACAGGTGTTTTTCAAAGTAAGTAAACATCTCATTCAGGAAATGAACTTGACTCATCAAATAACAGAACCACAGCCAAAAATCTGTACCATTGGAACCCAGAGACAACTCTCATGGCTTGGCAAAGCAAATCAAAGACAGATGGATGCCCAGCCATCCAGCAACAACTGGCATGCATACCACATCCAGTACAATCTGACTGGCATCGGACTTGGCATTTACTATTGGTGATTTTGTCAATGTTGCATTTTCACCCGTTATTATCCAACTAGAGAAAGGACCGGTTCTCAATATGGTCCTTGAGCATGTCATCTGGATATCCTCTTGGGAAGAATGTCATCCAGTATGGGATTTGATTGAACACTTAACTGACACTGACAGTATCTCAGAATAGCACGTTTAGAGAACAGACTGGCACTAACACTACCACCCCATCTCCAACCACATATACTGAAGGAATCTCAACAGTAGTGTTTGAGACTGAATAGGTATAGGGATGATACCAAATTGGCTGAGACACACACTGAACAACCCCACCTCTGGTGGGGTGTGTCAGGCTGGTATTCCCACAGTTATTTTTGGGCCTTAGAGACCGTTGCACAGCACTACAGACCCTTACTACATGCACAATGTGCCCCAGCAATGAGCCTCAACCCACCACAGATATTTGGCATGGTGACTACTGCCCCACCCAGATATTCGGCATGCCAACACTTGCCTTAGAGAGGTATCCAGAGACTGGATTAATATAGAGTGTGGTTTATGGTAGCTAGTATAAGTAGTTTCCAGAAACTCCTGTATCTAGCTTATTCTGCCCCTTTTTCATTAGCAATTATACAGATCCGGTTATCCCCTTACTGGATAGGCAGATTTGACTTGACTCAGCATACTTGACTTGACTTATTGTGACACTTGACTAGATGGACACTGAGCTCCAATTTACCAACCAATTTCTGACAGCTCAGCTTCAGGCTGACTCCAGCATTTCTACCAATTTTCCCCATCTCTCCCCTCTTTTCCAAGCAAGTTCTTGCACACCACCCATTGGACCAATATTTTGGACACCTCTTGGGTTGGATCATTTTGGAGCCCAATGTGAGGCAGCTTTTACTGATTAAGAGCTGCTGAGGCGAGAACTCCTCCTCCTCTGATTTCTGATACTGGCTTCCCATACTCTGACACCCATCTCTGCTATAGACCAACAAAATGAGCTTAGGGACAAATGGCAAGCTTGACATACTGCACTCCAAGAAACACCCATGATATCAGATACAGAGGTATCATCGACTGCTTCCACCAGGCATAACACTGATATAGTGGATGCAGTCTGACAGCTCCTCATGGTGAGCAAACACACTATGCCTACTGGCAGCGAGTCTCCCTTGGCCCCGCTTTTCTCCCACACCTCTTACCATCACCCATTATTTTGCAGCTTTGGAAAAACTATTTGGCTTGTGCAAACCTGCTGTCACTGGTGGAGGCACAAGATCGATTGGGCCTGCTTTTACACCAATGACGACACCTACAAACTATGGGCACAGATCCATGATGGCATGGATGATGCAGACAAGAACTTGTATGAGGATTTCAAGACCAAAATACTGAATTACTACCCTGGCATGGCAAATAATGAACACTGGTATGCAACTCAGGACCTAGATGACCTCGTTCACAAGTGGCAATGCCGCATCAAGACTAAGGGTGAATTCGCCAAATTCTACTGGGACTTCTTCTCCATTTCCACCTCACTCATCAAGCACAACCGGATTTCCATCCTCAACCAACAGAAGTTCCTCCTCCGCATACTCAAATTCCTGCCCCCCAAAAGCTGCCTTTGGGACAAGATGTTGAACAGGCTCAAACAGAAATATGACAGGGCTGTGGACAAACCATGGACAATAGCCGAATTAAAGGAGACAGTGGAATGGGCACTGGGCAACACTACAACAAAGGTTCGGCCACCATCCCCCAATTATTTGCAAGATGCATCACCAGCACCAGTACCTGTCAATGTAAAAACAGAGAGCAACCCACAGGTTGCCAATATTACTGGACACATGGCTAACCTGGAAGGAATGGTTTCCCACATCTACATGCTCATGAACTGGCAACCTGCAATGCAGAACCAACTGGCCACTCAGCAGAACTCCTATGGACAACCCTCCCAAAATACATATGGCAACAACACACTGGCTACTGGCACAAATCAGGTTCCTGTCCCAGCAGAGAACTACCTGAATCAAAATGGATATGGCCCCCAGAATACTGAGCACACACTCTGCCACTTTGACAGAGTCTCTACTGGTTGCATGGACAAGATTGTGACATGCCCAGGTGCCCAGAAATATGTGGAAGAAGGACTCCTTGAGAAAGACAGCACTTATCATGTCCTCACTGGCAGCCAATTTATCCCGTGTCATTGGCCTGGTCAGGACCTTAAAGAAAAGGTTGATAACTACTACAAGGACCACCCAGAACATTGTCCAAAATCACAAGCAACCCTCTCATTGCCTTTCACAACATAATCATTGAAGATGTTGGCTTGGACTCCAAATTTGAAGTAACAGTGGATCACTCAGTACTGCATCTCCTTGCTGAAAAGCAGGATGACACGGTGGAATGGAACAACAAGGAAATCAAGGTGCTCATGGCCAAAGCAGAATGACTCAAGAAAAGGCACATGGCATCCATGGGAAAATTGGCCAAGGTCTCGGAAGTCTACACACTGGCAGCAAGGAAAGAGAAATCAGATGCACACATGCATCATAGCACTGCACACTTCACTGGTGTACAGGTGGATGAGCTGGAGAAACTGGATGCCATCCCAGGCCCGCCAAAGCCCCCCCAAGCCCTGTACCAAATGCGTGGAAAATGCAGAAGATGAGATGGTTTTGTGGGCACTGGCTGTTACTCTTGCAGACACCCCGGTTCAAGTTCCCAGCAAGGTCCTGGCATTGGTATGTCCTCTGTTTAATAAGGTGCTCAAGGAAGCTTATGGCAAGAAACCGGTTATTCCCAACATGATACAGGTAACCAAAGTTCAAGATGGCAAAGCCCCAATATACCAGATCAAAGGCATTTTGGAAGACCTGGATGGTTTGTTAGTCAGGAAAGACATGGTACCCCTCCGGATGATCAAATGTCTAATTGGCAAATATGACACACCCATTCCCTGCATCCTTGATGGCAGCTCTGGCATTGTCAGCATCAGCAAATGATGTTGTGAACAAATCGGACTCACATACACTCCAATAAAGGGCTGGTGAATGGAATCTGCAAATGGCTCAGTCAATCAACTTCTTGGCCATGTCCCAAATTTGCACATTGGTATATCTGGTTTCAATTTTATGTGCAGGCTTTCGTCCTCCCAAACCTGCCTTTCCACCTGCTCCTTGGTTGCCCATTCCATGTCCTTGCCTCTTGCGTCACCCAAGACTATACAGATGGAAAACAGAAGATTCAGATCACCTGTTCGAATTCCCACCAGACAATCAACTTGTGGACCCAATTGCATTGAATGGGAAGAAAATGAGTGGTCCAGTATTTTAAATTCAGGACCATCTTCCCCAGTGAACAAAAGATGGAACGGAAACCTCAATTAATTGGCACTCAATCTTGCATGACAGCTCTCAGATAGACGCCCCAGATTTGGATACTATACCCCACAATACCCATCCTGTGTATGCAGCCCAAAAATACAAGCCCATGGACAGACGCATGGAACCTGTCTCAACAATGACACCAGAAAGTGTGAAAATATGGAGACACTTTCCCTCCAACCCTCTCGCTATCCTTCCCCCACTCCCTGATACCCTGCCAACTTTTATCCCCGGAAATTGGCTCACTCTGGAACAGTTTGAAGAACTGAACATAAACAAATATGGATTCCTTTGGCCCGAAGAGGAAAACCTTGTGACATGGGTCCTTCCTACCCACGAAAAAGTGTTTGCTTGGAATGAGGAAGAAATGGGTCTATTTCCTAGTGATTACTTTGACCCGGTCTGAATTCTGACAATCAAACATATACCCTGGCAGCAGAAGAATATTCTGGTGCCACCCACTTTATTACCGAAAGTCCTCAAAGCTTTACAGGACAAACCAAATGCAGGAATATACAAACCCTCCCAATCCTCATACCAATCCCATTGGTTTTGTGTCCTGAAAAAAGACAGCTCCCTTCATCCCATTTTGGACCTACAACCATTGAATGGAGTAACAATTTGGGACTCAGCCCTTCCTCTGCTTTCTGAACCCCTTGTCAAGTCCTATGGCAGACAATCCATCTACATGCTTTTTGACTTCTTTCACAGCTTTGAAAAACACCTCCTTCATCTGGAAAGTCAGGATCTCACAACTTTCCAATCCCTCAAAGGTTCCCTTTGCAGCACCTGAAATCAGATGGGCAGAACAAACAGCATCCAGATTATTCACAAAGACATTACCTTCCTCCTCCGTGATGAGATCCCCAAATATACCATTCCCTTTGTTGACAATGTCCCCATCCACAGCCCCCCAACACAATACAAACTCCCCAACGGCAATTTCAAATGGCATCCCAGAAATAACAGTATCTGCCATTTTATGTGGGAACACATGGAAACTGTAAATCAGGTCCTGACCCGCATTGAACATTCTGGCAGAACATTCTGTGGTCCAAAAATGGTAATTGTGGCTCCTGAAGTTGTCATCCTTGGGCAACATTGCACCTATGTGGGCCGACAACCCGAGCCTTCTAAAGTCACAAAAATACGGGACTGGCAGCCATGCAAATCCCTCACCAAGGTTTGAGCCTTCCTGGGTACTCTCAGAATCCTCCGAATATTCATCAAGGATTTTGCAATGAAAGCACACCCTTTGGAACATCTCAAATGCAAGGGCACAATATTTGCATGGGGCCCCAAGCATCAAGCCACCTTTGATTAGCTAAAAGCAGATGCCTGTTGGGATGGTCTCCTCTGTCCCATCAACTATGAAAGCGACTGCCGGATTATCCTCACAGTGGACTCCTCAAATATTGGTGTTGGATACATCCTCTATCAAAACAACATACACAGCAAACAGAAACCAGCCCACTTCAGATCATTGGCATGGAATGATGTCAAATCCTGATATTCCCAGCTGAAACTCGAACTATATGGCTTATACCATGCTCTCTGCACCCTGCAAGTCTTCCTGATTGGCGCACCCCAATTTATTTTTGAAGTGGATGTGTCCTGCATCAAAGGGATGTTGAATAATCTGGACCAGCAACCTGCTGCAGCCCTCAATAGATGGGTCAGTGGTATACACCAGTTCAACTTCAACCTTGTCCACATTCCTGCTGAGAAACACACTGGTCCTGATGGTCTCTCCTGCCATCCCCCAAACTCATTGGATGCTCTGAACCCGCTGGATATTGACCATGAACAATGCCTGGGACTTTCGTATCCCACATATCTTCAATCTGCTGTCAACAACTCCAAGCCCAAAATAGAAATCCCTCGGACCTCCTCCACCCAACACCTTGATGACTGAATTGCATTTATCCACCAATATCTTACTGATTTGTTGCTCCCTCCAGATTGGAATACACGGCAGCAGGCAGCCCTTGTCAAGCAGTCCCTCCAATACTTCCTCCACAATGGAAAACTGTGTCAGCATAATCTCACTGGCCCCCCCTTGAATATATGTTCCTCCTGCCAACCATCTTGCCCTGCTCAAGCAAGCCCATGATGACAGTGGTCATAAAGGTTTCAAGACTGTTGCCAGTATTCTCCATCTCCAATTTTGGTGGCCAGACCTCTGCACAAATATTGAATGGTACCTTCACACCTGCCATGTGTGTCAAGTCCATAGCATTTGGAAGGTCCTCAGACCTTCCAACAGTAGATTATCTGGCTCTGCTTTTCTCCAAGATCTACTGTGATACCATGAAGATGCCTCCTGTGAAAGGATACACCTGCATTGCTCAAGTCTGCTGCTCCCTGTCCTTGTATCCCAAATGGCATCCCTTAAAATCAGAAACTGCAATGGCCCTTGCATTGTTCCTCTTCCATGACATTATCTGCTGCTGGGGAAATATTGCAGAGATTGTTACTGACAATGGATCAGCCTGGGTAGCTGCTGTCAAGGAACTGGCATGATGCTTTGGCATCTGGCACATCTGAATTTTGCCATACAACTCTTGCGCAAATGGAGCAGTGGAATCAAAACATTTTATGGTCTGACAAGCAATTTTGAAAGCCTGTGGAGAGAATATTAAGCAATGGCCTGACAAAGTGCCTACCACATTCTGGGCTGAGCAAATTTTGGTCCAGCATAGCACCGGTCTCTCCCCATATTTCATTGCACATGGTGTTCATCCAGTCTTCCCTATGGACTTTGAGCAAGCAACGTTCCTCATACCCCCACCCAAATTCCCTATGACCAACAGTGACAAGCTGGCCTACTGAATTTGACAGCTCAAGCACTGTGAGTCCAATTTATCTGATCTCCAGGAGAAGGTTCACCAGGCCTGCCTGAGAACTGTGGACCAATTTAAGGTGGATAATGAGCACATCCTCAATGATTATGACTTCAAGCCTGGCACCCTGGTCCTCATCTGCAATACTTGCATTGAGAAGGAACTTGACCATAAATCAAAGCCCTGATTTCTTGGTCCCATGGTTGTTGTCACCCATACTGCCAGAGGCAGCTATGTGATTGCCAATTTGGATGGTGCCATTCTCAAGGCCCACATTGCACAGTTCTGCATTTATCCATACCACCAGTGATCTGAATGTACCCCCACCCTACCCAACATTCTGCGGCAGATGTCTGCCAAAATCCTGCAGACCATAAAAGATGTCTTGTTGGATACCGCAGAACCCAACTCCAAATAAATGACATGGGCCTTATACCCACAAGATTGTCAAACAGCATGCACATACCTCCTGACTTAATCCCTTGTTTTCTTTTGTTCCCCCAAGATATATCTACCAAGTCCACAAGCAGACTCAGTAGTATGACAAGAACATGGTCCTTACCAGAATACCTGCAATTTCCTATGATTCACATGACATCTGAATTACCAAAGTGAAAAACATTGAAGTCATGATTTGAAGCACTCAGTAAACAAAATATTGAGCCAACAAGATGTATTTCCTCAAATTTCACTAAAGGCAAAATTCAGATCTATGAGAACATGAAGACAGAACTATGCTACGATTATGACTATGAGAGGAAAATATGAAACAGAAAAAAGAAAACAAAAGAAGAATGGGAAAAACAATTTACTCAGCCAGAGCCCTCCCCAGGAGAGTCTGGACTTGATCCACCTGACCTGTTACCATGTCCATCACCTTCTGCGCCACGTCCACTGCTTTTTGAGCCATGTGCAGGCTCTTCCGCAGCTCAAGCATCTTGTGCTCTGCCATACGGAGCAGTGCAACTGGCGGCTCAACCTCTACAAGTTCAGTTAGCATCACCTGAATATGAACTACAGAAGGAAAAGACTTACCAGCCTCTGGAAGGCAGGACTGCTTTTGCGATGTGCCAACTGAGTCCTTGTCATCCTCCTGTTCACATTTTTGGGGCTTCACCGGTGCATAGCTGCACACCGGCTTCTGCTTCTTCTTCTCAGCAGGCTTTTTGGCAGTTTCTTCAACAGGCTTGGGCTCAGGGGTCTCTGGGAGGAAAAGATCCTCCACAGACGCTGGAGGCAGAGCCATGGCCTTGGCAAGATGTGCTGAAATGGGAGTTAGTAAAGGTCAATAAAAGCAGGAGAAAAGCAGCATACCTGTATGCACACTGCAAGGCTTTTTTGCTGCCTTGCGCATTGAGCACACTGCCCTCTTGGGCACCTCCACAATATCACACTTGTGGCACTCCTTACTGTCCTTGACAATGGCATGCTTGCAGCACAACATACACTGCTGAAAATGCATCAGAAAAGTTAAGCAGTGCATGAAAAGCAGGGATGACTCATGCAGTTTTCAGCTGCAAACAACTCCAACACTGCAGCATCCATTGTAGCCAGCAACACTTTTACCAGTGTCTCTTCCGGCATCCACCCCTGCAATATTTCAGTCAGCATCTTCAAAGCACAAAGAGGAAAAAGGACAACTTACCACATTGCGGGAATCCTCCTTTGTCAGCCTCCCATGCACCCTGATTGCAGGCAGCATCTTATCCACACCATCATTGAGGCGCAGCATGACTGACTTTGCTGGCATCATCTCCTTAGCCTTGCCCTTGCCCTTCTCAGCCTTCACCAAGGGACTGGCCAGGCTCGCCATGGACATCTGCAAAATTTGGGTTAGCACCAGCAAGTGACTCACAAGAAAGGAAAACCACTTACCAAAAATCCCAACAACAATGCCTTGAACTCCTTCTCATCCTCGTCCTCTTCCTCATCCTCCTCAGGTGGCACAGACCAGGCAGCCAGCTCTTCTTGCTGGTCAAGGGTGAAAAGTCAGACCCACCTCTTGGGCAAATCACAGACCAAGGCGGACTGGGGACTGTTGAGGAGCAGTGTGACCACATTGCTGAATGGCACAATGTCCAGATACTACACTGACGGTGAGAATCTGGGATCCTTGGTGTCTTTGCACATGCATGCAACAATTATGGCAGCTGTCTTCAGCATGGCATTGTGTTTATCCTCCAGCTTGGCAGTGAACTTGTGAGTGTTGGGCTTTGCCATATCGGACCAGGGAAGGAGATTAAGTGGAGGTGGGGGTTCAGTTGAGATCTGCAGGGACAGGAAAGGTGAAATTTTGTCCCATTTATAGGCATGAGTGCACCTCAGTGGAAAATGAAAATGTGCATGGGCTCCACTAAGCACTGATATCCAGAACACAGTTTCAGCTAAGGTGGCACAGATAAACACCATGCCAGGCTTTGCAAAGCAACAAATTGGCCAATCAGGGTCTCAGGCACCATGTGACTCAATGCAAAAAAAATGCAGTCAGGGTCCCTCATGCAGACTTAGGCAGCACTGCAAGCCACTGCTTAGGCTCTTCACATGCTGGCCAGCCACCCTTTCCTTTGCACCAAATGTGCAGCAACACCCTTCACCAAATATGCTGATGCCGCCATTTTACCAGCACCCTGATACATGGCCCCATGTCTTGCCACAGCACGTCTTATGATTGGTCCAAGATAATGCTGCCCTTGCTTCACTTGATATTTGGCAGTGCCACACTGCGTTCCTGGCTGTGCAATTACATCACCCGGGGCCCCACTGACTCAGGGAGTCAGTATTCAAGGTTTGGGGGGGATGAACACCCCACCTCCATCAGGCTGGTATTCCCACAGTTATTTTTGGGCCTTAGAGACTGTTGCGCGGCACTACAGACCCTTACTACATGCACAATGTGCCCCAGCAATGAGCCTTGACCCACCACAGATATTTGGCATGGTGACTACTATGATTCCCCAGGTGACAGGACCACTCAGATATTCAGCATGATGACAGCAGGTTTCCTCTGCAATGGGATTGACCCACCCAGATATTCAGCATGCCAATGCTTGCCTTAGAGAGGTATCCAAAGACCAGATTAATATAGAGTGTGGTTTATGGTAGCTAGTATAAGTAGTTTCCAGAAACTCCTGTATCTAGCTTATTCTGCCCCTTTTCCATTAGAGATTATACAGATCTGATTAACCCCTTACTGGATAGGCAGATTTGACTTGACTCAGCATACTTGACTTGACTTATTGCAACACTTGACTAGATGGACACCAAGCTCCAATTTACCAACCGATTTCTGACAGCTCAGCTTCAGGCTGACTCCAGCATTTCTACCAATTTCCCCCATCTCTCCCCTCTTTTCCAAGCAAGTTCTCGCACACCACCCATTGGACCAAAATTTTGGACACCTCTTGGGTTGGATCAATGTGGAAATGATGTCCAATTCAATACCATTATAAGCAAGATAGTAATGACATACAGTTAATCTGGTACAATCCTTTGGCAGCACATCTACTTGACACAAAATGATGACTCAGAGGGAATTAGATGAGACAGGAATAGTCTGACCAACACAAGCTATTAACCAGTCATGGGGAAGATCAATGTCAGACAGGTTCAGAAAGTAAATGCAGGAGTGGACTGCTTGACCACCTGTAGATGCAGAATGATTGGATAATACAGTATTGATTGATTGATATTGGTCATTGGATGCAATGGATGAGTATTGCAACTGCACATGTACAAGACAGCTTGCATTGATGGTATCACCAGACACTGCATCTGTGGGAGACTCTTTGGACAATTTGGAAATGACCTGACATCTGATGAAAATGATATACACTAGCAAAATGAAGGTACAAACTGTGTGCAGGTTGTTCATCAAGATGAATGGATCTTCCTGAGGTTGTTTGTCAAAGTACTGGCAAGTAACTGTATATGATTATGAATGACTGACAGAGGAGGACTGCGATATGAACATACCACACTTCAACAATCCCCATTCCTTCTTCACCATTGCAGCCCCTTCCAAGTCACCCACATAGGCACTTTGTAAGTAGACAGGAACAATGCTGAGCACCATGGATTGGGTCCTTCTTCAATCCCGTGCACCCATTCTCTAAGAACCACATCCCAAAACCAACATGGATGCAACCCAGTTGGTCTCATTTCCTCAAAGTAGAAGATTGTTGTATTGGTCAAGAAAGGTGTCAGTGATGATGTCAATGCTGGCAGACTGTTCAATAGTTCCATCCATTGACCATGACATACATTGAATTGAGAATAACAGGTAACATGTATGATGGAGTCACAATTGTAGACTGTCAGTCTCTGTAAAGCATGGGCTGTTATATAAAGTAGTAAATAAAAGAATGATTGTCAAAACATCAAATACTTATGAGGAGGTATACTGTTCAGATAAATGACTGAGACAGGCAGATGAGGTAACAAGTATGCAGATTGGAACAGATGAAGGTCACTATCATCAGATTGTGACACACTACTCTGAGAGGAGCATGCATTATGATCACGTGACAATATCATGTAGGATCTCTAATCTATCGAACTCTGCCCGTAAATTGCCAGCCAACTTTGAATACAGCATTTGTTGTCGAAATGGCTGTAGAAGTAAGAGACTGCTCAATGTTTTGACATGCAAAATCATGATGTACAAGCTTTGCAAGCTTGAACAAGTCATTAGGTCAATGATTACACATGTCAAGGATCTGCCTTGGGATTTGTAGTCAGTGTAAGCATAACACAGTAAGAGGGGTAATTGAAAACACATTATGACAAAGGCAGTAACATGACCAGTAACCCAGTAAGTAAACAAAGTCTTGACTGGTAATAACAGCACTATGTCTGGAGACAAGCCAAACCCAGTGATGGCAGCTCTGGGTATTTCTACCAGAAAAACAACCAGATACCTGATATTGTCTCTAGTTTCATACTTGATATCTCTGAGAATACCTTCCTGACCATTGACAGCTTTGAATTGTAAGGCAACATTCTCAGTTCATACTGACAACCTGTCAGGGCACCAGCTCATTGCTTGGTCAAGAGACATGACTAAGCCTTTATGACATGGAAGTAGCTGGTATACCTTGGCATGTGCTGGAACCTGCTGGAAGGATTGGATGGTCAGGTGACCTGCTGTGCATGGCTGTGCATGACCTCATATGACCTCATCCTTGGTCATAT